AGGAGGTACCTCTGGTTTAGGGAATTTCTTCTCAAAAACACTGAAACCATTTAAAATCAAAGTTGTGCTACAAATAATCCTTATCTATCAGTTTGCTTAAATGAGCTACAAATGTACTTTTCTAATACCTGTTAGCAGCGTTTGCTGGGATGTTTTTAAAGCATCTGTCAGAATGATGGAAATCACATTGAAATATTACCATTTAATGTTCCATTTGATTAAGGCAACATATGTGACCCTGGAGCACAAAACCACTCTTAAGTCGCTGGGGTGTATTTGTAGCAATAGCCAACAATACATCGTATGGGACAAAATTATCGATTTTTTTTTTTGTTGCCAAAAATCATTAGGATTTTAAGTAAAGATAATGTTCCATGATATTTAGTAAATTTCCTACCGTAAATATATAAAAATATGCATTGCTATGAACTTCATTTGGACAACTTTAAAGGCGATTTTCTCAGTATTTTGATTTTTTTTTTGCACCCTCAAGATTCCTGATTTTCAAATAGCTGTATCTCAGCCAAATATTGTCCTAACAAACCATACATCAATGGAAAGCTTATTTATTCAGCTTTCAGATGATGTATAAATCTCAATTTTCAAAAAATTGACCCTTATGACTGGTTTTGTGGTCCAGGGTCACATATGTTAACATGTCTGTAACACTGAAATAATAAGCCTTTAGGAGTTATTCATGGTCTGTTGTAGTAATTTAATGTTTTTACACCATTAAGTTTCCTTTTAATGTTCATTGGGTGAATAAAGTTACATCATTGTAACCAGTTTTTGAAAATGTTTGCGTTCATAGAGCAAACCTTTCGCAGGGAATTTAATCTCATCATTCGCACAAAGCATCAGGAAAAAGGACGCACCAGTACACGTTTAGCACTGAAGAATAACAAAATAGTTTATTAGAATTTTTCAGAATAAATAATTCCATTGAACAAGTAACCATCAGTCTTTTAGGCACTGCTATACTTAATCTGTAGAGAAAAATGTTAGCAAACACGCTTCTGTACAGGGCACTAGCAAGACAAATATGGCATGCCCCAGTATGTAACATGCTGCAGTTCAAAACCACACGTAACTCTTAAAACGAACACGAAAATATTGTGTAACCATCACATCTTAGCAGGACACATGACACGCTGTACATGAATAATGCCCCATCATCAGTACACTCGCTCACTACACTATGGCTCCCCTCCATCTGGCAATATGGCAAAATATGACAGGCTTGCATAGACTTGATTTTGCTAGGCCGAATTAAATGAACAACAAAATGAATTTGGAGAAAGGCCTATACCATATCTATATGTATTGGCATCACATTAGAACTGAAATAACAGCAAATAGGACAGCTGTTTTATGTTGACATGTAAATATGTAACATGATTCATTCAACCAAGGAAACAGCTATATTAGATATTCAACAAAAACAAGTGTTTTAACACTCATTACGATTTCTCAACCATGAGCCTGTAAATGCATAAGCAACAGCTTTAGCTGGCTTGGATTTGCTCGGTTTAGCTCTGGCGAAGCTCTATTTTAAGAACTAACTGTTTTATTAAGGGAGGCTCTCAGAGAACAACTTCTCTGCATAGATCATTTAATTATATACATGCACCTTAAATTACAGTTTGGTGTCACACTGTCACTAACAGCAGCCTGGAGCTTCAGCGCTGAAGCTCAACTGCACAATGGTGGTAGGGTCTCTCAGAAACTGTTTTGTGTATTACTCCCATGATTTACTTCTGATACTTGCTTCCAACACAAATTTTTAAACTTCAGCGGAGTTTTCACATTTTCAGTTTTTCAGGAATGTTCTATTGTGTACTAATATACATTTAACATTTCAAATTGTATCAATTAACAAACAACAGAATATTTAGAAACATCATAAATTCTGTAAAAAAAAGTTTTTCATTTATGATACCTAATGCATTAACAAGCCTTACTGTTAAGTTATTTTATTTGTATTTCTTTTATAAAAATGTGTCCAAAAGAACTCGTACATGTAAGGAACAAAAAAAAAAATGCACAGTTAAAGGAATAGTTCACCCAAACCAAAACTCAATAGACATATTTAAGCTATTTTAAAATAAACAAAAAATATATTAAATTATTAGAGAGGAAAATATTTAATGTTAGGGTTTGCATGATTTGCGTTTCTGAGGAAAAAGTACACACTTTAGATATTTAGCACTGAAAAATAATTTATTAGAATTTTTTAGAATAAATAATGAGATCAAACAAGCAACCGTGAATTTTTTAGGCACTGAAAAATTTAATTTAAATTCACATTATAGTCCAATGACTTGCCCTCCACTGTGGAACAACAGAGGGGTTTTCTTTTTCTTCATCCACTGGACTCTAACTTTGTTGAAATGAAATGCTGTGTTCTGCAGAAGAAAGTAACACAGGTCTAGAACCTGCCAGGACATGACATGAAGTTGAGCAAATGACTAAATTGAAATGTTTGGGTCAGCTATTCCTTTAAACTTTCCAGCATAGGTATGCAAAGTATTGTGTTGCATTTTAATATGGGAGTTTGAGACCAACGGTCAAATTTATGATATAAACCTGTCTGTTTGTGACCAGTGCATGGCATACAATGGATAACACTGGGTCTAAATCATCTAAATCCAACTCCTGCGGCTCTCCGAACAAGAATCCACCATTTGTACATTGTCAATGACTGCTGAAATTGCTCACTGAGAGATGCTCCAACAAAACAGTAAGCATGCAATGTCACAGTATATTACATCTCTAAAACATTTTCCCAGATGCTCTTTTAAAAACCAATGAAACTGCAGGTGGACTGCATGTAACAGTTCATTTCGATGCAAATTTTAAAAACGTTCTTCTCTAATATTCATGTAACGCAATAAATCCATAAGGTATAAACAGAGAGATATCAAAGCATCTGCAAATGTAAAAGTTAAAAAGGGAAGAATAAAAGATCAATTAAACAACTAGTTAGTCTATTTTAAACTGAACCTAAATATATATTTTTAAATGTTTAATTCAGTAATGAGAACTGAAGTAGTCTGAGGGACAAATCTAAAAGGTATGCGGCATACTTGCACCAATTTGCGCACAGATTTAACCAGGCATTCGCTCTTTACATTAGCATCCCATTCAAACGCCAGTAACCCGTTTTATGATACGACAGATGTTTTACCAGACACTGAATCAACCGTAACCATCAAAGCACACAGGCTGCTAAACCTGAGATGAGGAGCAGTTGAATTGAGACTCTCATACTGTGGTCCCAAACACAACCCCATCTAATTCCTGATCGTCTGAGTCGTCCTCGCTGAGGGAGAAGTCTTTGTGGTTGGAGAGGCGGCTGGGGCTGCAGTTGGATTCTCCGTCCATGAGAGAGCTGTTGGTCGTGGGCTTCCCCAAGTCACTGACAGGCCCCATCCTCTCTGCCTCGGCCATCTGGGCCAGCATGCTGTCCAATAACGGACGGCTTTTGCAAATGTTGTCCAGCAGCTGACATCGGTGTTGTAACTGTCCGATTAGAGAATCTTTTTCCTTAATCGTTTGGTTGAGTTTATGGATGGATTCCTCTGATTGACAGAGCTTCTCATGGAGGAAGAAAATCTCTCTACATGAAAAATAAAGATAAAAATTACCTTTTTAATTAAAGCTGCAGTTAATGCACCATTAGTTGCACCAATCGGAATTGAGCTGTTCAGTCATAACATCAATTTGTAGGCCAATCTAGACAGCTAATTCACCCTCAGGAAATTGCTAATATACATATTTTTTTTTAGAGTAGCAGTTGTCGAATTGTTTAAAGGGACAGTTCATTTAAAAATGAAAATTCTGTCTTCAATTACTCACCCTCAAGATGTTCCAAAACTGTATCAGTTTCTTTGAGCTGTTGAACACAAAAGAAGATATTTTCAAGAATGTGGGTAACCAAACAGTTATTGGTCCCCATTGACGTTCATAGTATGGAAAGAAAAATTCATGCAGATTTGGAATAACTTGAGGGAGAGTGAATAATGGCAAGATTTTCATGTTTAGTTGAACTGTCCCTTTGAAGCTTCTGTTTATCACTTGAAGACATTTTCATGTTTTGTTCTGCAAAATGATCTATCTATAGACCTACAGTGACATCAAATATGAACTTGAAGCTGGTGGTTGTTTGATATGTCTGTCAAGTAAACTTGAAAATTCATAAAAACAATGAACTTTTTCAAATTCATGATTGAGGCATGACTGTAGTGAGCACGCTTAAGTAATTCTGATAAGATAAATACATCAACAAATCCATCATTAAGATGTTTTTAACTTTGAACTGCTGCTGTTGAGACCACAATCCATAAAAACGTATCCACCAGAAAGTCATCGCATCTGAATCAGGAGAGAAATATGCACAGGTCAAGCAACTTTTACAAGCAAAAAGAGTTCTGGACAAATATATTGGGTGGTTTTGATGTGAGAGGACAACAGGGACTGACTTCTTCCACTCGAGGAAGCGTTATCACGGCCTACTATTTTAGCCTGACGCAAACATTTTGATTATGGATTTGTTTTTCACTTCACAAGATGTTAATTGGTGGACTGGAGTGGTGTGGATTATGGTGGTGCTTTTATCAGTTGTTTGGACACAGCAGTGATTGAGGAAACTTGTTTGGAAACAGTAACCCGTCCTCCGTCCATCCAGCATTTATCGCACAAACAAGTAGCCCCGCCCCTCACAACATTACCAGTTCTTTTTCTGATTGGTTAACAAGCGTGAGCCGCTGTCTATTTTGTTTTTTTAAACAGTCAAGAGCTGCCAGGTGTTTTCTTAGACCAGCGTACACTAAAAAACGCTGGGTTGTTTCAACCCAGCTTTGGGTCAAATATGGACTAACCCAACCGTTGGGTTAAATTTTTACATTCAATTTTTAACCCAAAAGTTGGGTTAGTCCATATTAGACCCAACGTTGGGTTGAAACAACCCAGCATTTTTTTAGTGTGTATCCAATAATATCTGTTATGTTTTATTTCAGGGATATTTTTAATGTAAAAGTCGCTTAATTGAGCTTTCTGATTTAGCATATACATGGTTTTGACGTCAAATAATGCACTATTAGGCATCTACAGCAAGATTGTGTTAAAGGGTTAGTTTACACAAAAAAAAAATGAAAATGCTGTAATTTTTCTGTCATGAAGGGTCAGAGAGCTCTCGGATTTCATCAAAAAATATCTTAATTTATTGTGTCTTACAGGTTTGGAACGACATGAGGGTGAGTCATCAATGACAGAATTTACATTCTTGGATGAACTATCCCTTTAAGAAGGTAAATATATTTTTCCCCTACTTGTCCTTGGCCTCCGTGATTTCTTGCGCGGTAGCTCTCAGTTGCTCATCTTTGCGGATGAGGCTCTCCGCCTGCTCCCGCACGGTTTTCTCCGCGTCCTCCAGCCTCTGCTCCAGGTCTGTGACCCGCCTGTGCAGCGCCGCCAGGTGCGCGTTCGCCTCTCTGATCTGCACCGGCGACGGGGACGACATGCTCGGGATGCGGAAGACGAAAGCACCGGTCCGGTAAGCTCTCTCTCACCCACGACAACGCCGCACCGCTGGGCTGATCATCTTCCGCGGGTCCGGACTCAATGATGCTGAACTCTCTCTCTCAGTCTCAGCAGGCGTGATGCTACAGCAGTGGCGCGCGACTCCAGTCTTCGGGAAATCTTGGCGTCTGTAATGCAGCGACAGTCGTCAGTGCGCGTTTACATGCAGCGCGGAGGTTTGTGACATTATCCTGTTTAAGCGGGTGTTGCAGTTTGTGTTGTTTTCCAGTCAGCTGACGTGTCATCTGCACCAACTTCATAGCAACTTGTAGCTGCTGACCCGGAAATGATATTTGGAGCCGCTGGCCAATCAGAGTCGCCGAAACAGAGTAACAGCAAGTGATTACAAAATGCACTTTCCTTTTTAAATTTTTTTTATAATGCTTTATTGTCAGCAAGTAGCATGTACAGTGCCATATCTCACTATATAACAAAAACATTTCACATGCCTCAACAAGAAGAAACACGGGAAAAGGAAAGGGAAAAAAAAAAATAATAATAATAATAAGAGGGTACATAAACATCAGTTTACAGACAAATACATATATTTACATTTCCATAGGATATTACAAAGCACATTTGAATACAGAAAATATACTTTGCAGGTCAGCACCATTATTTATTATTATTATTATTGTTTTTTTATATTGTGTGAAAATGTTAAAGGAGGAGCGTATATTAATAGTTTTAATTTCTTTACTATTTTTAGATTTTGACATCACATCTACAAACATTTGAATCTCTTTTCCAAGCACCATAAAAAGAGGTTTGCCTTTTGTAAACTTGCATTTATGAATGTGAAATTTACATAAAAATAAAATAAAATGTATAATAAAACCAACATCCTTTAAAAATGCATTTTCTTTGCGAGGCAAATTGGGTACATATCTTTAGATTTTTGGGCCCTTTTTATTATTACTTATAATATTAATGTGCTGATAACTCAGTTTTTATAATATTCCCGTTTCATTTAGCCTACATTGTGTGTAAAAAAAAAAGAAAAAAAGTGTTAAGATTGTACCAGTAATTAAAAATAATATCTAAATGATCAAATTAAGTTATTTAAAGACAAGTTTACATAAATTACATACAGACACCTAATTCATGTATGTAGGCTATTTATTTATTTACTTGTACTTTTAAGATTGAATGTGTTGCCAATAGAATATCGTTCATTTTACATCAAATCAAGGATTTGGGATAAAAAAAAAACTATGCTATATTTATGTAAGCTATAGGCTAGTTTATATTTGAGGTTCTTTTATCTTTTTTTGTAGTGTACCTTTCAGAAGACTCCCTTTTCTTTTCTTTCTTTTTTCTCTCTTTTTCATACAAGTTGTTACAGCTGATGGCTAAATTAAACCAGCAATTGGAACTTGTTTGTGCTTAGCCAATACCTGTAGTTATGCATAACTACATATTTTCTTTTCATTTATTATACAATTAACCAAAGCAAAAAAGACCTCTAACACTAGCTTGCTCTTCTTTTTCTATTCTATCTGTTTTCTTTTTATTTATTATATTATTTAAAAAAAAAAACCTTGCTACGTGAACTGTGTTAAGCTAACTGAGACTTGTTATAACACTTGTATATCGTTGCTCTTTTGTTGATTTCCGGCAGGCACTGTACTCCCTCATGTTGTGGAAGCTGTCCTCAGTAAAATGCGCAGCACAGAATAGCAAATTGGGTTTATAATGCTCAGGAACAGAGCTAAAAAATAAATTGCAAGCACTGTTTCCTGACATCATCCGCTTTCGGAAGCCCAAACAAAGACGTTTGGGCACGGAGGTGAAAAAAAACAGCATTTCAGACGGTCGCACACCAGACGAGAAGCGCAGCGTCGCGCCACATCTTTAAAATTAAAATACTTTATTTTCTATGAGTGTAGGCACACCTGTTTGTGTCTGTGTGTGTGTGTGTGTGTACCATTGAGTTTCCCATTCTGTGTGTGTGTGTGTACCATTGAGTTTCCCATAATGTGTGTGTGTACCATTGAGTTTCCTATACTGTGTCTGTGTACCATTGAGTTTCCTGTACTGTGTGTGTGTGTGTACCATTGAGTTTCCCATACTGTGTGTGTGTGTGTACCATTGAGTTTCCTATACTGTGTGTGTGTACCATTGAGTTTCCTGTACTGTGTGTGTATGTGTACCATTGAGTTTCCCATACTGTGTGTGTGTGTGTGTGTGTGTGTACCATTGAGTTTCCCATACTGTGTGTGTGTGTGTGTGCGCCATCGAGTTTCCCATACTGTGTTTACTTGTTACATCAAAACAGTCGATAAATTAATGGAATGATTTTAGTTTAAATCAGTTATATCAGATGGCAACACACACACTTTCTTCAATAATTTACTTTCTGTTTGCAACCCTTTTAGCCACCATGGGCGCCATCTTTGGAATGGCCACTTGTCTTAGCGCACAGGCCAGAGAAGCACCTGACGACCCAACCAACTATTTCATCGGTGGATGTGCTTCGGGTTTTTTCCTCGGGGCACGAAGTAAGTAGAATATTCATGTTTTTCATAAATATTCAAGGTCACTGGTGTCTTTATTTGTTGTTGTTAAAGAAGAGTTTAAAGAAGTTTGCTGGTGTTGTTTTTTTACGTTTAGCACACAGTGCTATCACAGGTACCACAGCGTGTTTTGGTCTGGGAACTTTGGCTATGTTCACCAAGAGGGGACAAATGGAAGGCTGGAGACTAACAGGACCCCCAAAACTGTGACCTTATATGTCCCCTAGTGCTTGATGTGTTTATATTGTATATTGCTCAAATAAATGTATTACGATTAAAAATCTCTGGGTGTACTCTTTGTGTTTGAGTTTTCTGAAATGGCTGTTTTTCTGCACTATTGTTGTATTTTTGGCCGCATCTGAATTAGGTCATACCATTGATATTACCTGAGAAGTTAAAGGGGTCATACGATGTTGTTAAAAAGAACATTATTTGGTGTAATGAAATGTTTATGCGGTTTAAGGTTAAAAAAACACATTATTTTCCACATACTGTACATTATTGTTTCTCCTCTATGCCCCGCCTTTCTGAAACTTTTTTACAAAGCTCATCAGTCTGAAAAGTGAGGTGTGCTGTGATTGGCCAGCTATCCAGTGCGTTGTGATTGGCTGAATACCTTATTTACCTATTACAACCAGATGAAAAAATAATACAATTATTAGCCTATTAAAAAAAAATTTTTATAAGGAATATTCACAGTTTTTCTTCCTTTAATTTTCATTAGATTTAAAATAAAATTTGAATGCCTTCATTTGATTTTCAGAAAAATGTAAAGATTAAAAAAATTATTTAGTAAAACCATGCTAATTTTCGTAAGTGATGTGTTGTCAGGTTAACAAAAATTAAAAATAAAATAAAAATGGACACCTTAAGAGGACACACAGGATGAATATATGAGATGCATTTTAAAAATGACAATTTTATTGAAATTACGCAATAACACATTTAAGCTGCCAGAAGCACAAACATGCAGAACAGGTAAACCGGAATAAACCTAAGAGTTAATCGATGAAACTAATTACAGTAAGGCTTTAGGCCAGAATAGTGGTATATTTATATAATATAATTATATAAATAGTTCGATTTTACATCGGCCTATTTGCTGTTTCAGCTATTGTTCTGTTTCATAATTGTTTTACTGATTCAGTTTTCCTAAAAACTCATTAATAGTCTAAATTCCATTCTCACAGCTTACCGAAACATGTTCAATACACTGCATGTTCGACAGCTTTTAGTCAAAACTTTAAAGGCATATATATATATATAAAATTGATTTCTAAATATAAAAATTCCCCCAATATGCCCAGAACGAACAATATCCGTCTCCACTGTATAATACATAACATTTCTTCATAGTTGAGCTCTCTTCCTCTGTCCATCACTCGCATGCAAACATAGCTAGTTGGTTACTTAAAAATTTTAAGTTTTTTAAGTTACTTTAATCTTGTTGGTGAGCATGTGAACTGGAGGTCAACGAAATGCCATGCTGTAGGCTATTTAACTAATTTGCTAGAATGTTATTAAATATTTTTAACATTTTAATCATTGGCCTACATGAAATGGACTTTTGTTGTTTATTAAAAGTCATGAAAAATGCCCTGGGTCCTCACTTGTTTATGACTCACAAGTCTGCATGTTGACTCTCTGTCTTTAGTAAGTATCAAAATATATTCATAATGTAGCCTGGAGTAGTGGAAGCTTGTGCACATATAGAGCATGCACGTTGTGGTGAGTTCTTGTTGTGGCCACAAGGAGGCGCTGTTAAACCATTGTTCCTTTTTATATCTCTAGTATAATTTACACAGCTCACATAAATACATGATTCATTCACCATTTCATATGAATAAATAAATTAATATTTTGGAATCCGAAACCATTAAAAAAATTGATATATTCCTGTAAGACTTAATACAGGGCCCCCATGTTAACTTTCTTTGAGCAGTTCATATTAGGGGTCTGGACCTCAAATAGATGTGTGTTAGAAGTTTCCATTTGTTCTATTCAGGGAGTATTTGTAATCACTGGTTTCTGGGGTGGTCTTGTCTGCCACGAAGTATAGAGATGTGTGGCAAACTCATAGCTGGAAATCAAACCTAAGAATCTCCTCATATAAGTGTGCACAGCTCTATTATCACCACAGTGAAGACTTTTCCAAGGTGTTAGATTTTTATTAGAGACCCGTTGAGTTCACTGGACCGTATTTACAGGTGATTAGCACAGCGGTTACTGGGAGGCTTTTAAATAATTAATGAGATGTGAGAAACAGCTGTTTGCAGTTTATTTGGTTTCAACAGTTGGAACAAGCAGGGAAAGCACAAGAATCTTGGAGACGGATTTGTTTGCTTTGGCCTTTTCCCTGTTGACAACCACAGAGACACAAAAAAGTGTCAATTATATCCATGAGGCTAAAAGCCAAATGGTGTAATTAGCAGACGTGTCCTCATCTGGACCTTCAATCTGCTAATAATTTGATCACGACACTGAAATTGCAAAACAAACTTTCCTGTAAAGATCAGCAAACCTGTACAGACTTAAATATGTATGTATATATACAGAGAGAGAGCGTTATTTATGTAAAATGTTATTGTAGTCTCATTTGAGACACCATTATAATTTGTATTAACGTTCTGATTGTTTTTACATTTCTTGTTTTCACTGTAATTTTCCTTGAAACCTTTGTGATTCTGTTTGTCTTTTTTTTTTTAATGGCTATATATTTTTTATTAATTGCAATTTCAGTTTTAGCTGTAGTTATATAAGTACATCTAAAACTAAATAGAAATGAGAAATGTTACCGTCATATATATATATATATATAATGGCCCCTTAGAAATGCTTTGAAACAGTTTTCTTATGAGATATTTTCCTAAAACATAAAAGTAACCTTTTGTGCATAAAGAACCATTTTTCCAATATAAGAAAAAAAGTGTAAAATTAATAAGAGACTTGACATTTATAATGTTCCAAAACCAATAAAAAATTAACTGAAAACTTCAAAAAATTATTCTAAATGTAAATCTTTCTAATTTATTTATTTTTATGTACTTGAATTTGTATTAATTTGTTTCTATAATTCACTGGGGGTTAATAAATGGCACTACACTTTGTAAAGTATAGTGTTGAAACAATATTTAATGTGAAAAATGAAAAATGTGCCGTCAACATGCTAAAAAGCATTTTCTGACCAAAACAAGAAATGCTAAATAAATGCTTAACGTATGTTGTAAACAGAGCTTCACTGTTTTCACATGCAAATGTGGATGGAATAATCTATTTATAAACCAGATTTATAATGATTCAGAATGATTTACAATGTGAACGTATTTTTATGGATAGAAATATTGAAATAAAGGGCAAAATATGTTTAAATCCTTTTAAAAAATAGATTTATATTTTTAAAGTATATATATATATGCGCACATACAAAATGGCCAAAAATATATTGGTAGAAAATATATTTACAAAAACATATTTTTGCAAATATGTTTTTTGGCCTTTTTTTGTATATTTTGAAATGTATGTAAAATACAGTTGATATTTTATATTAAGACCAATTTATAGAGTATGAAAATTCAATAACGTAACTGTTCCAACTTTCCTTGCTCCAGCGATAGCGTAGTATAGTACACTTTACAAAGAGAAAAGCCATTCAACCCCCCCGTGAAATAAACGTGAAGTAAAATAAAATAGAAATAAATAATGGAATACAATTGAAAGTAATAAATAAATACATTATTTAAAAAAAAATGTTTAACAAAACTTTAGAAAGATTTGATTTTGTCAAAAACAGCTGTCAATAAAATAATGTTAATACAATTAAATTACAATCACAATTAATCTCATTATTTCCAGCAAATCTTGAGAAAGCAGAAAATTCGGGAAATGTGTTAAAACGTGTTAAGCATTTAGCATTTAACTTATATCTTAAGTTTTGGTCTTTGATATAAGTTAAATTTGGGGATAGTCTTTGGGAGACCTTCAAAAAAATCATTATTTATGCAATATAGATTGCTCCTTATGGTGCAGAAATGATCAGTTCACCTCTAAAACAAAAAGCCGACTATAATATGAAGTATCGGTCCTGCAGTTTCTTCTGGTCTCTTCCTTTCAAATGAGTTTGCAGGAAAAAGAAGCTGATGTGAACTTTCTTCTGCTACTCTGCTTTTATTGATTCGCTCGCTGGCTCGATTTCCTTCCGATTGAAAGCATAAGTTGAAATACCGGTTCATCTTCATCCGAAGTGCTGAATCTCAAATCAAAATGCTACGTGGTTTGGCCAAAGAAAGAAAAAACAACTACTAAAGACTGTATTCATATCCTGGTGTGTTCATACAGCAGCCACTGCATTAGGAGATTTGAGCAAGCAGCTCGCTCAGCATTTTAACCGTACAAACGGCTTCAGTCTCAACGGAAGCCTAAAAACAGTTAGCATCGACCCAGCGCTTGTGCGTCAGGGGCATCATTCTTCCTTCAATTCTGCAGTTCCTGACTGCAACAAACTACTGTGATAAAGAGAGTGGCACTCGTGGAGCTGCATTCTTCATAAACCGTGCAGCAGACAATCTCTTCAACTCTGACCTCAGCTTTAATGGAGGCGATCTTTCAGAAATGTTTCTGATATCAGAGCCTGGTAAAAACCACTCTCCATCAGGACTGGCATTTTGATAAGCATGCACTCAAGGACAGCACTGTTGGACAGCACATGCTTAGTTAGAATGGCAGTGACTGCTGGATTTCTATTCGGCCGGGAGCTTAAAGTCCAAGATGTGACTGTAATGAAATGTGTGTTGATAAACAATGAAGATTTATAGCTGCTTATGTCTGCTGGTGATGGACAGCGTTATCTAGTTACCCTAATGGACATTATGAACTAGATACCCAATGAAATGACGTCCAGAGTGTACATTTAACGAAACCATAAACTAATCATTTTCATTTGGAATACCTTTCCACTTAGACTTTTGTACTTGCACTGTAAGTACATTGGGTGTGTGTGTGTGTTTGTTAAATATTCTTGTTAAAAAATATATACAAAAATATTGGTAGAAAACAGAAAATATGTTTACATAAATACATATTTTGAAACTTATTTTAGCACATTTAAAATATATATTTTGTGGTCACAGATGCTGTCCATGAACAATAGCTACATGTATTTGTTTCTATAATTCACTGGGGGTTGATTTATAGAAAAATGTTGTCAAAAGTAAATATTTTCAGAATTCTTTCATTTCTTTTTCTTTTTTGGGGATTCTGTATAATTTATCAATATAAATATCAA